TATTATATTATATTATTATATTATATTATTATATATTATATTATGTTATTATATTATATAATATTATATATTATAGTACACTGTTATAATAATTTTATTACTAATAAATTGATTATTAAATTTTAATGTTAAAAAAATTATACTTGTGCATAGTGTTTCTATATATATATGTAATAATCACTTTACATTACAGTATTTCAAATAATTGTCGGTTAATATGCATGAATATTTAGAGAGAAAAACGCATTTAGAATATGTTCCGATACTCCGACAAGTTGAGATGGGTAGGCATTTATGTCCCTGTGTGTACGTAATTAATAATTTATTCTTTAAAAATATTAAAAAATAATGAACGTTTCGACTCTACTTTGGAGTTATTTTCAGCATAACTGATCTCTTCAATCCTCCGACTGTTTGAGACCAAGTCACCATCACAGATCTGATGTGCGATCTTAAACATTAAAGAAATATCAGAATGATGTTTTTATCAGAATGATGTAACAAATTTTAAAGTTATAATTTTGAGAATTTTGATTTAATTTATTGTGATATGACTTTTCTTTAATGTTTGAGGTCGCACATCAGATCTGTAAATTTGATGGTGACTTGGTCTCAAACTTTCGGAGGATTGAAGAGATTAGTTATGCTGAAGATGAATCCAAAGTAGAATCGAACCGTTCATTATTTTTCAATATCTTTAAAGAAGAAATTATTAATTACGTACAAAGAACCACGTCTGACTCTCTATTGCCTGATCCTCGGATACATATTTCTTGGTTTTTAAATATCGAGAGTTCGCAAGGAAATTACAATTACACTTGGCTTTGTTATATTATATAACTTAAACAATATAAGAAATTACAAAATTGTAGCGACTATATACATAATACACATTATTATTGAAGAATATTGTCGTAATGCTGGTACTAAAAAATAAAATCAAAATGTAAAAGCTATAAATAAAAAATATTACAAATTGTTATTTCTTAAAAATGGAAAAAATCTTAGATATGGCACATTTCTTTTTATACTCAATTAAAGATTTTTTTATTACATGCATCGTGATATATTTTTTCTATTCCTCATTATTCGATTATTTAATAAGATTTTTCCATACATTTAGGGTATGTATCGTCTTCACGTTCACCCATAGAATGCATCGCTTCAGTACCTTCCATGTATGAGTATTTACTTAATTAGGCGTAAATATATTTTAAAAAAGTAACGTCATCAAGTAACATGACAAAATAATGTAATTTGGATAAATAAATCACGTGACGAATTGTTCAACTCATTTAGTTACTCAAGAAAGTCACATAATTTAAATAATCATGTGATATTAAATATAATTTCCATTCATCGTGCAACTTTAGACTTTAAAACGGTTAAATTTTAGAGTACTGTATTATACATATAATTAAAGGGAACTAAAAATATCATCGTATGTTTTTTCAAATTACTTAGAAAATCATACATTGATTTTGAACAATTCGTTAGTTGATATACTTATCTTACTTACGTGATTTCGACATGTAATTTTGTGTCGTTACTTTTTTAATAAGGGTCTACTAAATACTAAAAAGAACAAATAATACGGCGCTAGAACCATCAATACGGTATATACCATTAAGGTGGTACACTCGTAATAATATTACATAATAAATAAGCCCTTTGTAAATTCGATTACGATACCCTTACTTTCGATTCTCATCAGTGAGAGATAACTATTAACTACACCTGTTCAAGGCTATAAGCATACGCAGAAGAAACGAACAGATAGATGCAGCTTAACGCAGGTCATTGCTCGCTTCCGACGATTCTCATAATGGCCTGACTGAATATTTACGAAAATTGAATCCATGTCACGATTTTGTCTATTCCTAACTAAGAGGACTTAAAGTTTAAAATAATCGTATGATATTTTTTTTAAATCTCAGTTTTACACGTTTTATCTTTGCAATCTCGTTTCTAACTAAAATATCGATGTTCATTCGAATCCTAGAAAAAAAATCGAGACATTTTAATAAACTTTGTATTCAGGACGCGTATAACTGTACAGGTTCTAATTGTTCACTTCTCGACACTGAAGTGTCAATGTCATTGTAACTGTCGTTTTTCTTTGAACATATATAGAAAATGTACTTGATATGAAAAAAGGTCAATCAATACCGATTTGATTCGGATCAAGGAGCTAAAATTTACTTAATGGGCGTTTTTACAATATTGTTTATCCCAGATATGGTGAATACTAAAGTCACGTTCATCTTTCTCTTCACACGTAACTAAAAAAGAATAACGTGTTTTTAGCTTTCACCCTGTTTGGGATAAACGGTATTGCAAAAACTCCTTATTATGAAATATTATACGCTTATAAGGATGCTACTTATATTACAATATACCTTAGAGTGTCTAGTATTAAAATTATATCCACTGGAAATGTCCCATCTATAAAACTATATCTTGAAAAAATATCACTTAAAAGAAAGTGATTTTACAGTTGTAACGAAAATTATCTAGATACGAAGAATTAGCTAAAATATATAAATGATTAGCAAGCATTGCGATACTACATATGTTTGACATCTAATCAGTATAGATGAAAGAGGTAGAATTTATACTTAAACATTTAACGAAATGTAGAATGAAAATTAATGTGTGGCATCTATTCATGTAAAGGTCAATCGTCTTGTTATAAGGTTTGAGTAATTATCATTTTCTTAACTTCCAGATAAATTGTGGATAACTTTATCCAGGAAATATCTCCTGGATAAATTGTATTCTAGAAGATATCTCCTAGATAATTGTTATCTAGGCTGCGTTCCGTTTCAGACATATGCGCGCATTTTATATAGTAAACGTCACGTATAGTATAGGGGAATGCGCGCATATGCGTGAAACGGAACGCAGCCCTAGACGTGAAGTAATTGGACATAAAATACATGGAAAAGACTAGTAGTAGCGGGAAACAAATAGATATATATGATCTTCACATCTAACATAGTTTATATAATCCTTCCAATTGTTTAGCATTTTAAAAAATTGTTACGTTGATGGCACATCAGCGCGATATGAGTAGTGCAGTGGATCGAGAATATCAGATCTCAATAAGAGCTGAACCCTTGAACAAGTCAAGTTGAGTATCACGTTATTATACCGGGCATAAGTTTATTATCTTTAGTGGCGCAGTGGACGTGTTACATCTTGGAGTACGAACTTAATCCTGCCGCATGACGAACATTCTAGATACGTGCAAAAGACTCAACGTAAGTAAGATTTCGGGGACTGTAAGTGTTAATAAGCGTCATTTAAACATCTATTAATATTTTATTTTAAGATTTTCCTGAATCTTTATACCACATTGAATTTTTTTATGTCGATGGCCCTAATTGCGTTTCAGATTTGGAGACTAAAGCAGAACACGCTTGGTATAAAAAGGTTATATAATTTAGGTACAGCTAAAAAAAATTAGTTATGATACTAGATGTACATTGCCATATTATCTCTTGATGCTACAGTTACATTCGGCAGGTATTATTCTTCATGAAGATTGTTCTAGTTATAGTATCAAAACTCATATTTATGCAATACAGTAATTTATAATTGGCAATAAGGTCTAAATTTTTTAGAAGGTGCTAGAGTGATGCTGCTATAAATTCTATAAGTCACATACAATATTTCATCTGATACGAAAAATAGCAATAATTTTACGCTGCAATACCTAGAAATCTATATCCATCAGCAAAATATTTTTTTGAATGATTACATCTGTACTCTCAACTTCCTTCATCGTTGATTGGTTATTACTCTTATTAAGGGTACATATAATTGTATCGGATTATCTATAATATCCCGTTGTCAATCGCAGTTCATTATTATATAGCATTGTGGTTGAAAGTGTGATCCTAAAAAATAAATAATTATTCCTACAGTGTATGGAATTTAAATATTTTTCTTCAAAACGTAGCAAAAACCAGTATTACGTTTTTATATAGAACTTCCTTTCTTAAATTATTAATCTTCTATACACTTTAGACTTTATGACACTCAAATTCTGGATACCCCGTATATTAACCGCAATGTTGTATACATAATAATATAATTATTATTTCATGTACCAGAAATACGAAAAGAAATAATATTGTGATAATAGAATATATAATTTTTTTTATGTATAATCTAATTTCGGCTGCTTATACAAAATCTTAATTTTCTTTAAAATTCTACAAACTAAACAGTGTGATACGGATTTTTATCATTATTGTACAGAATTTTGGCTATTGAGATCTGATTAGAAAGACTTTTATGCAAACAGAAAATTAACATATTTACATATAATTAATGTATAGAAACGTAAACGCAACGTCGTCCAAGTAAGAAAGAATTGAAGAAACGATAATTTCATAGCACGTACCTCACAAGGATGTTGTCATTTAATTTTGTACTCCGAGTCTATATGATAATCTAGGTACCAATTGGAATAGGAATTATTTTCACATAGCTTAGATTCGTAAACACATTAATTATTTCTATAAACCTTTTTGTGTCGTTTTAGTTTTGATATATGTCTGTAAAGTTGCAGTAGCAATATTTATCATTTGTTACAACTTCATTTTAGTTTATGAGACGAAATATCTAGAGTCCCTATAAGAGAGTTGTGTCAATCTGAAGTAAAATGGCGTCTAATTGGGACTCTAGCAGAAAGGAATGCTAGACCTTATACTACGAAGAGCGTAAAGTCATGGTGGCAGGCAAGACGAAAGCTTGCTAACATAAACGGCAACAAGACCTCGGTTTAAGTCCCGGCACCGGTGGAGTCTCGATATTTTTCTCGACCCAGCTCTTACAATATCAAAATTATAAGTAAGTCTATACATTATTATAAAGCTTTCGAATTAAAAATATATAAAAGATACAGATATTATGTAGTCGAAAATGACGTTCTAACATTGTCTACTTGTCAATATTATATAATTTAACGTAAATTCTACTCTTACAACTTTTAAAGTCTGAACCACCGCGTTCACATTACTCAAAAGTGGGGATATAACAGCATCGATGATTGGTTCCGCCATTTTACTTCAAAGCCAATGAAAATTTATACAAGATTGACACAACTCTCTTACAGGGACTCTAGAAATATCAAATAATTTCTTTGTTTATTGCAATAAAGTATCCACCTATACATTCTACCACCAATCTCACAATGATAATGTTGTACGTCTATATAAATTGTTTCATGTTGACGCGCGCAGACGCGATAAAAAACTAAACACTTTAACACAAGTTTCGCATTTATACGATTTACCTTTAAGTATGTAGGTTTCTATTAGACTTGTAACGTTCCTCATTGTAATGCTGTTCCACCTCGTGGGATCTCAGATTTGTTTTCCGACTGCAAAGTGACAGTTTCAATATTTACTATTTTTGATAATTTAATCACTCTGATATTGAATTTACAAGAATTCTCCTAACTCTTATTTCGTGTGTGTGTTGTTCACTATAAACAATCACCTAAATATTTTTCCACAAAACACGCAATGGTAAGGTTTTTCGCCTTTATGAATCCTCTCATGAACACGCATATTCTACTTACACTCTTTATTACACGATTCGCATTTATATTATGCACGTCCAATAGATTGTTCCTTATTAGGCTTGAAACGTTATATATCGGAATGCACTGTCTCCATGTGGATGTTTAGGGCTTTTTTGGTACTGCAAAAGGACATTGCAATATTTATTATTTTTTACTACTCAAATTAATCATTGATATTGAATTATCAATGTACTTTTCTGACTCTTATGTTGGGTGCGTGCGTACATGCGTGCGTCAGTGTGTGTGTGCGTGCGTGCGTGCGTGTGTGTGTGTGTGTGTGTGTGTGTGTGTGTGTGTGCGCGCGCGTGTGGTACACTTAATCACTCACCTAAATCTTTTTCCACAATACTTACAACGGAATGGTTTTTTTCTATGCACTGTAAAAAATAAAATGTTAATTTTAACTCAAAGATATTAGGTGGATCTTCTGAGACATGCAAAAAAGTTAAAATTAACATTTTTGTGTCGATGTTAACATTTTTGCATGTCTCAGAAAATTCACTCAATGTGTTTGAGTTAAAATTAACATTTTATTTTTTATAGTGTGAATTGTTTCATGAAGACGTAATGCCGTTTTACACATATATGTTTTATCACATATTTCGCATTTATGTAGTCTTATTTCAGCATGTTCGTCTATATTATGCCGATTTGAACTTGTCGGAGATTCAGAGTACATCTTAATATTAATAAGAGCGATTGATATGAAGAAAATTTGAAAAAAAATGTCGTAAATGTGTGATAATTATTAAAATACAATGCAGAAAGTTACCAAAACTGAAGAATTTAGTTCTGAACTTCATAAGTCTTACCGTACTGCTGAGGTACATTTTTTTCGTTACTTGTTTCCTCTTGTTGATTTATTTCTTGTTTTGGGAATAAACTTTCACTGTTCATAGTTATTTTTTATTTCTGTTTATTGCAATGTTCCGTATACTGCCTTCGTAGTTAACACGTTCTAAATATATTTTACTTTGTTATTATCCACCTCTTATATATATATAAATCATAGAAATAAGCAATTTTTTAATAATACATTGAAGTTATAATATACTGATAGTTAGGGCCGGGCAAAATATTATACATCAAAAGGTAATTGAGATACAAAATACAAAATACAAAATATTTTTGTATTTGAATTACATTATTAAAAATGCTTTTAATTTTTCAGTTTAAAATACAAGGTACCAATATTTCGAAATTTTTTATTTCAAATACAAAATTCCTTTCTTTATACAAAAATACGAAATGCTTCCAAAATTTTTACTTGAAATACAAAATGCTATCTATGAGTTAATGCGCATAAGAGAATTTATTTGAACTCAAATTTGATGGATCCATGTCAAATGAAATACTGAAAAAAATTCTTTATTATTAAGTCCTAATAATCCTTAGATCTGTTCTTGTTGGCTGAACTTCTGAATCAGTTTATCGTTCATCCTTTTTTCACCAGGTGAAGAGTAAAGATAAACTAGTGCAAAAGTTCAGCAAAAAGAACAGATTTCTTTGCAATTACAAATAAAGATATAGAAATTGTATTTAAAATTGTATTAAAGTATACTAAATAACCTATTTGAAATAAAATATACAAGATACCTTCTTCTCTTTTATTTGAAATATGCCCGGCCCTGCTAACATATTTTATTGAATCTGATAAGAATGTAACAAATAGGTATGTTATAACACTACTAAAATATAAATGTAGTAGGTATTTATAGTTAATATAATCTCTGGGGTTAGACATTTTGTACCCGTATTCATAGTTGTGCCTTATACTTAAAATTTCCTTAAGTTTATCTTCATATGTGCTATACGAATTATATTACGGGCTACTGAGCGTCTAAAGATAAATTTGTGGAAGCCTTAATTATAAGGTATGATTATGAATACTGGCTTTAATGATTTAATAACTTATGTGAAAATACTTACAGCTTAAGCGTTTTAATCAGAACGAAGAAGTACGGTTGAATTTCAAATTGCTTGCTGACGTCTAAACACGTCAAAATCTTGGGAACTACTGTGTCAAGATCTACATATGATATGTATACTTCTGTACCATATACATAAACTTATATGTGTTTGTATAAAATATACATATAGGTGATTCTATGGAAAGCCGATATGACATTTTGTCCTAGTGATAAGTCTTCGATATTGTTTATATTATGTGCCTTCCAACAAGCGACACGGTGCGATACAGTGATCATCTCGTCCTTGTTTAACATTGGGGAACAACAAGGACATACTGATACAAATACTGTGTCACACCGTGTCATGTGTGTCGCTTGTTGGAAGGCACCCACTGTTTTCGTAAAAACCACTTGTACATATACATCTTATATAATATATATTATCATCGAAGAATGTGTTGTAATGTTGCCATTAAGAAGTAAAATCAAAATGCAAAGAACTGTATACCAAAACCATAAAAAATTGTTATATAGTTGAAAATGTAGGCATAATATTTAGTACATATCTCTTTTTATTTATTTAAAGATTTTCTAATTACATCCATTATTACATCCAAGAACTAA